TCCTCAAATAAATATTTCTACATTCCCTTAGATCAAACCATCTTCATAGTGACTGTAAGTTATATCACTTTCATGTGTTTAGATAAGGTCAATAAATTAGCCTGCTCCCAATGTATCGGTCTTCATAGCTCAGTTATTGTTAGGACACTGCAGCCCAAACACTAAGGCCAAAGCCTCGTAGCCGAAGCCATGAGCCTTCAAGCGTCACAATAAATACCGAAACCTAAAACCGCCCATGAATGGTTCCTGGCACACCCGGGTCAATAATAGTCGAATTGATTAATTGTGGGAATTATATCCAAAGAGGCCACGTGTATAGTGAATACGTCATTCAGTAAATATAACAAGGGCATTCTGAGAATGTGATTGCTTTGTCAAGAGGTCTTTGTATCCTCGTTATCATTCTTATCATTTTCCTTCTCATATTCATCATCATCGCTGTTATCTTTATCTTGTTTAAAAATTAACATTTTAAGTTCAATTTATAACTGAATACGTTTTACAGAGTGCACTGATAAACAGAAAGACAAAAGTCCTGGGTGTAATTCTTGGCAATCACAAGGATTCTGCGAGAGCAGTAGCATCTACCATCAGTTTATGATGGACAACTGTTACGCTTCATGCGGACTTTGTACAAGTAAGTGACACACCTTAAGGTCATCGGATCGTGGGCTCAGGCCTGAACATTAACTTTTAACCATAGAGCGTTTTCACTCACGTGGCCAGCATCTATGCAAATGTATTGGAACAAAAGAAATTGTCTGCATAAGAGAAAGATCAAACTCCCACAGGATTTGTTTGGTACACCAACGTGGCCGCCGTTTCATTGTTTTGGAACACCAATGTGACGTGGCCTCCTTGACGTCATGTGAAAACGCTCTGTAGAATGCTAGCCATTATCTTTCTTTGATCCGGATTCTGACGCTATCATGAAAAGCGCTCTAAAACCGAAGGAAATTTTCAGACGAAAAAAATGCTAACCAGGTTGATCGATCACTGCCCTCGGTGAGGTATTATGCAATCAATCAATTCGCATAATCGTTTTACAAAATGATACATTATTAGTATCGAATTCGGATCGAACCCTTAACACTAACAAAATCTGTTCGTATGACCTAGTTTGATGCTACTAGTAAGAAGAATGTCAGTTAGTGAATTCTTAAAGATGATCTTTTCTTTTTGATTAGATGATAATCATAACTATAACAAAATTCTCAGATCTGATTGGCTATCAGCTGTTCGGATTTCAGCACTAGGACAGTGTAATAAGACAGTACGCGTCATGCCAGTGAGTAACTGCAATCGCACGCACACTGATGGCAAAAATAATCAAATTATCTTGTGTTTTAATTTTCAAAAGCTTAAAGCATCACAAATTTTGTTAAAGTTATGATTAAGTGGTAACAGAACTTCGTTTTAAAGACATGAAATTGGACTCCATTCAGCTCCATTACCATTATTTGTCCACATTACAGGTGTGACACCGTTGCGTAAACACGATGGCGGACGGGGGTAATCCGTTGCCCTATTATCGTCGTAGCGGTCACGACAGGATCGCATTCATTGTTAAGTTTTTATCAGATTATTCATCATACGTTATACTTTGTTTTACTTAATTCCTTAGTGCCACCAACACCACCTCCACAAGGTAGGTTTCCTTACCGCTAATTTAAATCATTTCAGTTTTATCACACCGTTTATACTACTACATGAGAAATTTCTGCAATTTGATTGGTTTAGAGCAGTGGTATTTCAGCTTCATTTGAAATACCTACATGTGAAAATTACAAAACCTTTGCGGGTAGTAGTATAAACAAATAATACTATGATTTGTACGTGATATTTGGCATAAATACCACTCATGACTTACTCATTACGTAAAACAATTTCCAAATATCACTCGTTGTATTTATGCCAAATACCACTACAAATCATGCTTTTACCTATACAAATCCCCTATTAAGCCCCCCGGGTGGCTTATTTATTTCAAACACATTTGACGGAAGGGGGCTTAATAGAGACCGGGGGCTAATTAATTTAGCAAAGACGATGGTATTTAGTTCTCCATAAAGAACCAGAATGCCAAATGGAAAAATGCAAGTACAAGAAGTTGGAGGTTATGCAGCTGAGGATCAAATACAAATCCGACCTTCCAACACGTGAACAAACAATCCCGGATCAGTCCAAATGAAGTTTTACAGTCGTGATTGACCGATAGAGCCTATCAATATTTATTAGTTAGCGTTAAAAGGGCGAGGGGAGGGTGGGGGGGCGGGGGGGAACTTAAAAGAGAGTGAGGCTTATTAACTTTCTTTCCTTGAAAAGGGGGACTTTTTAGCCGGATCTGAAGGGGGCCCTTTTTTGAGAGGGGATGGGCTTAATAGAGGATTCTCTTGATTTATCTAAATATTTGCTTTGAAATTTCTGTCTTCCTTGCACTCAAAGTTTATTAATTAAAGAAGAGGGCCATAAGGTGGTCATTTGTAAAGTGCCCTTAATACATATTAGCAAGAGAGGATAAAGGGAACAGAGAAGGCATCCCCCATACACACCCTATTCCATAGGTAATTCGTCTCGAGTTATTTTTAGAATCGGGATAAAGTTACCTCGCGCGCTGCGTGGATGTTTCGTGGAGGTTTCGCACGACTAAATGGCGTGCAAAACATGTCGGGCGAAAGGCAACGAGAGCGTAAAGACATCGAGAGCATTTCTGAATATTGAAGCGAAATGTGTCGGCGCTCACCTGCTGGGAAANTCTTGATTTATCTAAATATTTGCTTTGAAATTTCTGTCTTCCTTGCACTCAAAGTTTATTAATTAAAGAAGAGGGCCATAAAGTGGTCATTTGTAAAGTGCCCTTAATACATATTAGCAAGAGAGGATAAAGGGAACAGAGAAGGCATCCCCCATACACACGCTATTCCCTAGGTAATTCGTCTCGAGTTATTTTTAGAATCGGGATAAAGTTACCTCGCGCGCTGCGTGGATGTTTCGTGGAGGTTTCGCACGACTAAATAGCGTGCAAAACATGTCGGGCGAAAGGCAACGAGAGCGTAAAGACATCGAGAGCATTTCTGAATATTGAAGCGAAATGTGTCGGCGCTCACCTGCTGGGAAAGGGAATCGCTGGACTCTTTGATAACCCGTGAAATCAGTTTAACTCGAAGTTGTCGTAACCTCAGTGCTTTAATAAAAAGAAATTTCGCCGGTCTATTGAAACCGGTCGTTTGTACAATAAAGCAAGTAGGACGGCAAGTGTTATTTTTTTGAATAATAAAAGACCAATAAAAGAATAAAAATCAAACCAGAAATTGCTCTCTTCAAACTATAAATTATAAATGATCTTGAGAGAATATTCAGTGAGTTAAGGATTTCCCTGTTGTACTGTTAGCTCTATACAAGAGAGGAAGGACGATTCTTTTTTAATTTCCATTTCGCTGACACCGCCTTAGCAGAAATATCTCTTTAGTCGTTTTCGTGGACAAAACGAATAGCAATATCGCTCTCCGAGTCTTCCGCCATTTTTTCTGCATCAATTCGTGAAGGACGCGTGGCTCTGAGCGTGGGTCATCCACGCGGAACACATTCGCGCTATGTGATTGGCTGTTGTCTAACCCCCCTTGGGATCTGTGTGTCTTAAAAATAACTCGAGAAGAATTACCTATGGCATAGGGTGTGTATGGGGGATGCCTTCTCTGTCCCCTTTATCCTCTCTTGATATTAGTCATTTCCTTGATTCGTCAGGTGAGAGATGGGGGAGCTGTGCTGATTCACTTCTATGTTACCATTTGAAACTCATTAATTTCTTTGATAGATCGATCTCTGAAAAGTTCCCAATCTATTTTCCACATATAATACTTGAGCTTGAATGTAGGTAGTGCGTAGCTGTTTGTATCACAATCATAATCACAAACATAATCAAAATCATTCTCATTCTCATTATTTACTTATTTACTTCAGTTGACGCAACTGATTGCCTGAAAGCCCATAATAATAGACGCGCCCTTCATGGAACGCCAGCGCTGGTCTGGAATAATTCACTAACTCAGCATGCACAGGAGTGGGCTGAGTATTTACTTAGCAACGGGTCTCTTGTGCACGCAAGTGGAATTGATGAAGGGGAAAACCTGGCTTGGGGATATGGCCCAACGTTCCGAACATGTGTGCAAGCAATGGAAGGATGGTTAATATACTTAATTTTTGTGTGTTATCGTTATCGTTTTTGTTTTTTGTTTTTTTGCTGCTTTATGAAATATGTTTGAAGGGAGCGCATTTCAATAATTTTTAATAATAGTAATAATAATAAGATGGTCTGTCTTATATAATAACTAAGGAGGAAATTTCTATGTGTGCGGGCGATCATGAAATCTTTGCCCGGGCTCGTCTATAGTATCGTTGAGGGCAAACTGCTGAGTGAAGTAATAAGATCACTAGATGGTACAAGACCTGCTACAAGTGAATGTTGAGAAATATCAATCCAAGTTACTGGGCTCTAGGACTGAGGCAAATATTATAAACCTACATATAGATGGAGTTAACATAGAACAATTGAAATCTTTCAAATTGTTCGGTGTACACCTGGACTCTGAACTTAATTTTAGTGAGCATATCAGTTCTGTTTGCATAAAGGCTAGCCACCAGATAGGAGTTTTGAGACGTCTAAAGAAGGTTATACTCACTCATGCTAAATTACAACTATAGAAAGCTGCCATATTGCGTCACTTGACTTGCAGCACTATTTGGCATTTATGCAGAGCCTGAGACAAACGTAAAATAGAAAGAGTACAGGAGAGAGCCCTAAGAGTAGTGTTCAACAATAATTCAGTCTCCCACGACGAACTGCTGAAGCTAGACTACAAGTAGTCCCCAATTTTCCCTCAGGGATAGTAGAGCGAGCGAAACGCGAGCGCGCGAGAAAATCACTCCACGCCGCCGCGTGTCGACTTTTCTCGCGTGGTCATCAGTAGCTGGTTATGGTGAGTTATGCGTGTGCTGTTAGCCAATCAGAATCAGGGAAATATTTTGAATGAATAATAATAATATTGTATTGACCGTCTACAACAAGCGATACATTAATAACTGTGTCATGGAAGTACTTACATGTAAAGCTAACAAAAAAGAAGAGTTTGAAGAGTTTGTTTGAAGTTTCTAGACTACACCAGGAAACTAATCAAGCTCTTTATGAAAAATGAACAAAAATTTGGGATGCCTTTCTTTCTTTAATTAACCCCTGTTCTGTTTTTGTAACGAAGGTATGACGAAGAAGAGCCGCAGTATGATTATGACAACCCAGGCTTTTCTAAGGCAACGGGACACTTTACACAGGTACTGTGCTTGTTTGAAACCTCAAATCGGTAAAAACGATTGTTCTTCGTGTTGTACTACAGAAATCAGTACGTTAATTGCAAATCTCAGAAATGATTGTATGATCGTATATCTGAAGAAAAAGAAAAAAATACAGTCATTTGGGGTAAGCCATGCAGAACCGATGAAAGGCATAGAGTGGCCTTTTCCAGATGTATGCATGATTTGCATAGATAAATCAGTAGATAGAGAGAGATAAGGAGATAGATAGATAGATAGATAGATAGATAGATAGATAGATAGATAGATAGATAGATAGATAGATAGATAGACAGATAGATGAATGGATGGATGGATGGCTGGATGGCTGGATGGATGGATGGATGGATGGATAGATGGATGGATGGATGGGTGGATAGATAGATAGTTGGATAGTTTATTGGTAATCACATTGCAACCCAGAGCTTGAATTAGACGATTATTTACAACTGAATATTATTACTTAAAAATACTAATAATAATAATAAATGGAATAATGGAAAACACTATATAAATGCACTA